TGTAAATAAACGTTTAAAAATATTTTTGAATTTAAAAGCACTTTAAAAATCAAATTTGTTTCGCAACTAATGTAATAAAAAAATTTGAGATTAATAAAGAGAGCTTTACATTTATCTCAAACGCGTCGCGCGCATGTTTAAAAATATTTAAATAATATTTGATTATGCATACGATAGCCTTAAGTATTATAATCGAAAAATTTCGCTTAATGCAAATTGATGGATATTGATAGAGTATGCGCTGTTTATTGTGCAATAAGAGGCGATTCTTTCTTCGAGGGGAATCGTTGACAGCGCAATAATTTGTAATCGATGTGATCCTACGACAAGGTTGCATTTTCGTCGATTGACCGTGTCGGTTGTGAGAGCAGATATCATGGCTCTAAATCCAGGCCGCGGGGTTATGCCCCTTAAATCCGAGTCAGGCCGACTGCCAAGAATACTTTGAGAAATTTACTGCTCCGAGTAGCAAGGGAGCAATAACGTTCTATAGGATTGGAGTTACGTTTCTCGATATATTCTTTACAGTGATATCTGTTTGTGCGTGAAATACTTAAGTAGAGAAGATTAAGTATTATCGCGAATGATGAGATTCAGTAGAATTTAATGAACTAATATTCTCAGTATATATTCTCAGTATATATTTTAAACGTTATATATTAATATTTCTATAAATAATTTAAATAGTCAAGATATAATATAGCATATCTAAATAAGAATTTCTATCTGATTTCGTTATTGTTCACCTATGAGTTTAATTTCTTTCAATAAAATAATAACACATTACTGTCGCACTACTGCCACATTACTGTCAAATCAAAAAAGAGAGAGGAATAAAAGTGAGATATTGTGAATTATATAAATACACTAATGAAATAGATAATAATAGCAACTTTTGAATAATTTTGATAATAGATTTTTATAGCCTGAAAATTGAAGATATATATACGCTGTATAATAAATGCTATTTCTCGCTATGATATATTTTCTGCCTTTTTCAAACATATATAGTAGACCATTCAGCAATTATATCCGCATACTATTCTATTATTCATTAATTGCTCTGCAACTAATGAATAATAATTATTTAAGTGATAGTTTAGAAATTGAAGTCTGATGATTCGTTAATGATTATATAACCGGATCATTGATAGCTGATAATATAAGTGGCTATAGTTTTAAAGTACCCTACTTATATATATATAGATTATAATTAGCGTACTGTAATATTAGTAACATATTGTTGCACAATTAAAATACTCTCACGATTTAATTTTACAATAATTGCTGACAGTTTGAGAATAAGTTATGTAAATTCTTTAACTTCCTTTTATTTGCAAATTCTGTGACTGATATTTGAATTATTGTTTTTTTAAGCAATAACAATACTAGAACATTAATATTTTTATTAATAATTAAAATCTAAAAATTTTCATTAATTGTTAAAAACGCAAATCAAAATTTTATTTTATTTTACAAGAGGATTCAGATTTTTGAAATTAAAAAAAATCGTTGATATAAAGATTATCAAGATTATGTAAATGTTAAAAAATGATGAGAAAATATGTAAATTTTTATAAAATATAATTTTTATATTCCATTTAAATTAAAAAATTTAAATAGACAGAAATAGATAACAAATTGATTAAAAGATATGTACATGAAAAGAAACAAAAAAAATCTGGAATACCTTTTATGATTTACATTACAACATTAGTCGTAATATAAATTTGTTTGTTAATATTTTTTCTATGTCTTTCATCCTGTTTGTAAGAGATTAAATCTTGCATCTTAGCTTTTAGTGCAAGCTGACACAGAATTGTGCTTGTGCTCGTTAGTGCGCCTTAACACAAAGCCAATGTTTCGCTACGTTAGATCTCAAATGTAATTTTGTCGCATTCGCCGAGTATATGTCATTAGCTTGACGAATAGTGTCAGCGACAAAGCTAAGTATGCGACGATAGAGAATTACCACGTTTTCAAAGCAATCTCGTCGCGTGATGATGCTTGCTCCATTTTCGCAAATTAGTTGATAGCAATTGTTGTTTAATATTTTCATTTGCGCTGCTGTTCCGCTCTATATTCAAACATGCATAAAAATATGTTTCTAAAAGAGTGTATAATCCGATTGTCATGCCTAATGAAAAAATGTTGTTATTACTATCCACTGGTGCTAATGGTGAAATTAATAATAAACTTAAAAGTATCACAAAGAATCCCGGAGCCTTAATCGAGAATTAATACTTATAACCATTTTCTTCAGATCGATGAAAGTACGAGGCCTAAAATAACGCACCATGTGCATATAATGAGCGGTTGATACTATAAGTGCAGTTCTTGTTCTGCGATGATACGACCCTAGCACGAACTCGTCAATTATTATATGAATATACAATGACACATTATAGCATTATATAAAGATAAATAGCATGAATGCAAATTATATTAATTAAAATCATTGTTTTAATAATTTATATTCAATTATATTTCTTTTCTAAAATAAAATTTAAAATTTTATAATTTATATATAATTTATATACACAAATATAAGCGTTAAATTCAATTCAATTTCAAACAGAACTTAAAATTATATTGTTGTTTTCTTGCATAATCATCAATATTCAAAATTAATGTAAATTTAAAATATTCAAGACCGAGTATACGCGAGTTAAATTCTTCTCGACATTTAATTATTATTTTCTCACACTAGCACGCATATCTGAAATATCTTTACCGGAAGAAAGAACTTATCACGCACTTTTATACCACTAGAAAAGCCAATATTTATTCTCGTATGCGGTGAAAAGTCGTTATTTTCAGCGATAGAATGCAGAATCGAATAATAAAGCTGATAAACCCACAAATCCATAGTCGTCCATAGTCTTCTGAAACTGGAAAATTTTTCCCAACCGATCAGCGCGGCATCTTTTTAATATGCACCTTCAAAAGTATACCAGAAGCTCTTCTATAGTGGAACAATTTTTCCGCTCGGAGTGTGATCCCGGCAATTTCACTATAATGCATGGAATTTTTGAGCTTTTCTGCAAAGACTTTCTATTCTTTTTTTAATCTTTTTCCTTTGTTTTTATTAACATCAAATTTCAATCCAATAAATTAATTTTTTTAAAAATGAACAAAAATATGTTTTTAATGTTCTAAAGATACGGAATATATTTATTAATGTTCGAAAGGGAAATATGTTCTTGAATTCTTTCTAAATGGAAAAAAAGCAAATAGCAAACTCACAATGTAATTTTCTAAACTCCTAGCTTTGCATATTCTTGCTGTAATTTTCTGTTTTAAATCGACGGAATCTTTGGCAGTAGAGAAAATGGAATCGTTTCGCCGGATTATCATGCCGGACTTATCGCCGGAAATGATTTTCACGGCTAATTGAGCGTACTCGATTGCCTCGCGACTCGATTACTTTTCAAACTTATCGTGTCGCAACGCGACACGTTTTCTTTTCCCGAGAATAGTGGACAATTTACTATCGACAGTTTCTATATCGAAAAGTCTCGCGAGGCATTCTGCCTTTACGAGATCAGATATATAACGGACACTTTGCAACCAACGAATCAAAGGTATTGATTTATAAATGAACGAAATATATTTTCTATCTATGAGACACGCGACATTTATCAATATTTATTCATTTTTATTGTGATAAATAATTTAGTTGGTTTGAAAGATGACATTTCTCACGTCGAAAGAGAATGTATTTAAAAAAAAAGAAAGCAAAATATAAAATTAATATATCTTCTCAGCATTACACATATTTCTCCAAACGTGTCGATATTGTGATTCAATCAAAGCACTTAGTCGACTGGATATCACAATGTACGAACATTGACCGTTCCATCTGCACGTATTGCGATATCATTCGATTATGACGCTTGGTTGAATCGTAATTATGTCTCGCAATTCGCAGTTGAAATGGGTGACAGTCTGACTGGTAGATAGCTACGACAGCGTTAGGAGCAGAGTAGGTCGTCTTAACAGCCCTGGAGACACGGATGGCACATAGAATAATAGGTTACTCCGGCAACCTGGGTTAGTCCCTGTTAGCAAGACCGAGAATGCACAATGTATGCAAACACTGTAGCTCGCGTCCCCGTATTCACCCTTCCTCCCCCTCCCCTCTCTTACCGAAATACTCGAATTACTGTTCTTCGTCCAATAGGATGCTCGCCCGGCTGTCAGGATGCTTTTGCAGCTCTCTTCGAAGCTAATGGAGAGGCGCGACGATCTGTTTTCCTTAAAGCACTTCAGCCATCTCGCTGCGCGTTTATCTCGAGGAAATGGTGCGATACGTCTCGTCCGTGGCAATTTTCTTTTTGTGAAATATATCGCTATTCTCCTTCGCAGAGGACTCTCACGATGTCGACGCATCTCGGCATACCGAGACTGACATTAAACGCTTGCATTTTCTCTCGCCGTTATTAAATGCTCCCATTTTTCTGTAATTACTCGTGTCTGCTGGTCTGTATTTAAAAAAAAATTGCGACGTCTACTTACCTGAGGAAATGAAAAAATTTCAAATAAAGTGAAATAGTACTCCATATGATTTTTATGATCACATATTTCCCGGAAATAGGTATCAAGTGGCTCGTAATACAGATAATAAATATTTGTTGATAAAATAGGTCCCGCTTTTTGATAGCATGATAAAATTGATTGAAATATAACTTTTTGTAATAAAATACAACATATAAATAAAAATCGAGATGCATCGATATGCACCGGGTAATATAGTAACGTTCCGTATTAGGTACATATTGCATAACGTGTATACATATATACTCTCGCGCTATGTACATTTATTATAGAGAAAAATTCCTTCAACGTTTGAAATAGATATTACGAAAGACAAGATGGAAGTGTAATGCATCGCGCGAATAAATTCGTTTCCTTTACATATCGCAGAAACTTTGCCTTTGTTGTGTATCTACTCTTAATGGAAAGGAATAGCGAAAGGACAAGGCGAATGAGAGAGCTCATTTGTGTAAAACAGATGAAACGTATTCTCTTTATTCGTATTCGCATGCCATCGAGTTTTATCTTACGCGATCGGACATTTCTCGGCTTAACGTGTAACGGATTGAAATTCGGACATTAGTGACTATATAACTCTAGGGCCAGGCTCGTGTCTATTTACAATAGAGATCTTTGTACAAAAACTAGTTTCATATAAACAGTAAAACTCACGTCCATGTACCGCGTCAGTGATCTGGAACGAAGACGTCGCTCCTTAAGAGAGGATTTTTTCGAGTTTTTTTTTTTTTCGGCGAAGTCTTTCGAACGAATATGTCTTTCTTTGGGTCGTTATATAAAAATTTTGCGTAAGAAAACATGAGCAGTGATGAGCTTCGAATACGATCACATTAATATTGTTAGTATTTCGAGAGCAAGACTGGAGAATGAGCTTTGATCGTGGGGAACCTCTCCTTAACCGTACTATCTTATAAAACTGTTAAGTGGGGACAAAGTTGAAAGTAGCTTGTAAAAGTTCCAAAAGAATTAGTATTTGAACTATACATATAAAAGGATGCTGTTTTGTGCGCGACTCGGAACCCGGAAGTATGAATAAAGTATAAAAAACGCCGTTGTGAAATTTTCTCTCAGCTCACTTTAATCCAGCCTCGTCTCTCGTTTCTCTTGTTATTGACATTAACTACTTAGGGGTTAGACTCTTTGTACGTTACGATATACCGTTTATACCTCAGTATAATGGCAGTAAAGAAATAATTCTGGACATGTATGGGTTAACTCTCTTCCTCTATCTCGCTAATTTTGTTTATCCCGTTTTCTTTTTCTCTCGGTAAAATTATGAGATGTTGCCGTCCGGCATCGATATAACGTAATCTCGAGAGGAGATCGCATTTCCGGTCAATACGATCCGGAACGCGCTTCGCATCAGTTTCTCTCTACTTGTTTTGTTTGATAAACGTTAAGTGTATTTCGCGGAGTAGAGTTTGTAACTCGCGTACCAACTATGGGGAAAGGAGGGAGATAGACTTTGCATTCGCGTCTCGTGGATCCACTTGGGGAGGGAAGGGTTGGATCCCCATAACGCTGCTCTCTCCGCCGGTATTCGTTTACATTTACGCGTGTAAATATAATCGCCGGCGGCGTCTTAGAAGCTCACGAGGTCGAGATCTCCCGCAAGGGAGGAATCCCTCCGAACTTATATACAGCTCTCTTGTATCCGATTCGAGCGTGTCACTACTTCCGGTTGATGGAATTTGCCTTGCGCGGAGACCGACGATGAAACGGGCCTCTGTGGCATCGAAAGCCCTTTGCTCGTCCTTTGAAGGCTATAATATACCTGAAAGCAAGAACCAACGTCCGATGTTTATCAGACTATTGTTTCGATTAATTCAAATGAATACGTATATGTGCGCGCATTAATTTTTATTTACATGTATGAAAATTGTGCAATATTAAATAGATTTTTAAAGTTTAGAATTAAATTTTTACGTCGTATAAGAGGGAAAGAAAAGATTTCAATAAATCAGTGATTTTTTGCGCGAACAGCAAATAATGCGTACTTCTTCCTATTTTATTCGCATATATGTATTTATTTGTGCGCGTTCGAAAGGAAACGACATATATTACTTTATATTTGCAATTTCCTGAATGGAGAGAGCAGCCTGAAAATAATATCGAATTTTTTGTAATCCTCGGTATTTTGTCATGTCACTTTTTTATTTTTCTATATATACATTTAATAAATTTATAACTATCGGATAAGAGAAAATTTCAATGAATGTTAATTAGCAATTATTATGTGACTCCTTTGATGCAGTTTTAATTTAATGCTTCAACGAGAAAGTTGTCGAGCTAAGTTTTTCTTCTTCACATTCGTTTAACACGTTATAATTATTCCGACATCTAAATAGAAAGTGATCGCTTACGAAGAAGAGCGAAAGAGAGTCGAATACGAGTTACGTGCATCGGGCTGGCCTCGTCGAATTATCGAGAAAACTTCGACGTAATTAAACTTACGAAAGCGCAGATAACTCAAGACTCTGCTAAACCGGAAAAGTTAAAGTGGGGGACTGCCGCATATTGAAGCAACCGATTCCTTCTCTCGAACCAACTTTCCATCGCTCCGTTTCAAGCTTCTAATATTTAAAACGACTCCTCTAATTTAGCTTTACGAAAGTATAGACGAGGCAATATTTCGATGGGAACACGAAGATCGAATCAAGCATTGCAAAGTCGTACGGCTTGTTCGATATGTTCGAGCATAATTCGACCTATTTTAAACTTTTTATTTTTAATTTCGCGTCGCTTGCCTATTTTCCGAAAATTAACGACAATCATCTTGGTTTATAATTTTACAGAAATATTAAATTACAAATCTTATTACGTAAAAAATTTATCGTAAGAAATGATTTTTAATAAAAATATACAAATTGCATTTTATTTGTAAAAATTCACACAAATTCCCTCATTTTTCTTCCACAATCAAAATCACTTTTCGTACGGGGGAAATTATTAAGAAACTGCAATATATAATCACTTACGTTTTGATGGTTACGCTGATTGTAGGCGTCCATGGCCATCTGTTTGAAATCAGCCATCGTGGGCGGATGATTGTAAGTGCTTTGCTGAGGCACATGATTTTGCGGGTAATTTAGGGTGGGCGTTGGCAGACAGTCGGTCAACATCGGATCCGGAGGCAGGTCCAGACCGTGTTGAACGATCGGCCTTTTTTCCGGCGAGGCATTCTCATCGGTGGCGCGATCTTTCTTTCTTCGTTGTGGTGGTGTCTTATAGACGGGGGTGTACGTTAAGGGTCTTCTTTCTGGAGACAGATTTACGGAAGCCATGCAGAAACTAAGCCGCTTAGTCGATTAAATCAAGAAAGGGACGGTTATTTTATAAATGCTACCTCTCTCTCTCTCTCTCTCGTTATAAAAGCGACAACCGTGACGTCCTCGCATCTCGTGTCATTTTTTATCGCACCGAGAGAAGATTTGCGTTACTTTATCGATGCAACTTTCATTATGAAATGCGCGAGTTCTACGGGAAATATCTCGATTTTTAAGCATCTCAATCCAACCTCGTTTCCTCGACATTATCATTATTCGTGGAGTTCGCTCGCCGACGCAGTTCGCGTATTAATATCGCAAATGGAAATGTATTTTCATAGAAAAAAGTAACATCGCGCTGAAATGAATTTAAATGAGAAGTTTGTTTCATGGACTTGCTTGCTATATAAGCACAAAAACTAACATTACGTGCTTGTTATCGTACTCTTGGAAAATAATGTCAGAGTTTTATTACGTTTATGTTTACGCGGATTTAAAATATGTATAATGTGTTTTTTCAATCGTGCATACTCTTTTTCTATCTCGTACGAGAATATCTTGCGCGGAGCTTAATTTGTAGTTACCACAATTTTAATTATACAAAAAGCCCCATTGAATTATTATTACTTGATTACAATTTTATATATACGTATGAACTCTCTCTCTCTCTCTCTCTCTTTCTCTCTCTAAAAATAAAATAATTTATTTAAAAAAAATTAAATATTGATATCATATTTTATTATATATTATAATATTATAAATCCTGCCAATAATTTAATGACATTATATTCATAACTAAAATAGAGGATTAACAAAACATATAATTCCGGATGTAGCTTATAAGAAATTAATGCCATGAACATATACATATATGTGAAAATCGGAACCGGTATATGTATATGTGTATTCCACTTTAAAGTGAACAATATTAAACACGTTATCGCTATCGCTCAATTTTCTGCATCATTTATTAGTCTTTATTGAAGTCATCATAGAGATTTTTATAAATCACATTTTTTTTATATTTCAATCATTATTATTTTAACAAAATTCACGGTTTATAAAAATAATACCATGCGACGGCCCAGTTATATTGTCGTCAATATATGTATATAAAAAAAAAGGGAACAGATGCGCGCGCGAAAGCAAATTCTTTTCTAACGATCGGATTATCGGCGGACTCACCGTACTCGTTCGGTATGATGTCCGGATCGATGTCATCGACCGCCTGCTTGGTCTGAGGGTGCACCGGGGTGGTTGCACCAGCATTAGGCGGCTCGCATACGATGGGAGCGTGCTTTGGACTTCCGGGTCGGCCGGTGGAGTGCTTCCGGTAGAGCGCCGCCAGGATTCCAGCGACGGCCAGGGCCAAAAGGGTCGCCATGGCTGCCAAGCCCAGCAACAACGGATTCAGCATCGATGCGTCGGTGTTGCCTGCCGCGACAGTCGATGCAAAATGCTCGATCAACTGGAACTTCTATCGATCTTTCTTCCTCCCTCTCGCTCCTCGCGATACAACACACGCGAGACTCCCACCCTCTTTTTTTCTCCAATCCCACATTTCTGTGGAACGCGAGGGTAGCAACTTGGAAACTCGTAGAGTAAAGGAGAAGCGTTACAAGTAACTTTTCTTTCATCATTCGCTCTCTCGCGTCTCTCGAACGAATTGTATCGAATGAGGAAGGAAGGGAAAGGGCGATACCGAATTAAGGGTTGGAGAAGGGTTGGTTTTCCGTACTTTCCAATTACCCGTGGATTGTATTGCGCCGTTTCGTTGGGCTGCTGCAAATTCGTGAACAGAAACCGCGGATTGTAATAAATGTTTTGTACGTTCCGGTTCTCACTCGGAAATGATTTTTCCAGGCGTACCGCTGCGGCCCTTCTCTTTGTCTCGATACGAGAAAGGAAGCAATTCAATATTTCCCTATTATCGACGCGTGACAACGCCCTGCACAAAGAGTACGTACAGCTGTAGATCAAAAAGAGATCGTTGAATGGGCATACTGCCTTAGTATATAATACATATATATATATATATATATATATATATAATATATATAATATATACTATATATATATATATATATATATATATATATATATATATCGCGAAGCGCTATTCTGAAAGTGGCCTGATTGCAAAAGCTAAACCCTCTTTCCACCCTCTTCTCGGCCGCTTTGTGATAATGCCGTTCACAGATTGGGTGCGACCCGTAGCTTGAAAAAAAAAGATTGTAACTGCTGTTCGACGCGATAGTTTGTTATGCTAACAAATTCAATTTCGCGTTTGTTTATTGTATATAAGACAAACTCGATTAAAATTATATCCCGCGATCTTTTTTCCTCCCTTACTTTCATAGGATTACATGTCCGCAAAATATTACGCAATGTCACAATATCATAATACCGCGGCACTTTGATCGTATAAGAGCCCGGTTCGTGTTTCAGTTGCATAACTTTTTCACCTTTTATCAATGTTCTGAACAATGTTCGTTCGCAATTACGTTTATTTCGTGTTTATTTTCTTTATTAAAGCTAACTTTTAGCAACAATGCAGTATATAACTGTGTATTATTTTGTTTTCAAATAAATAGATACAGTTGTGGAGAATCATCCATATATTCATGATTTTCCTGTTCATTGTCAGATGAAATAACATAAATAGCATTCCTTCGCGCATTCCCGACTTCTTTTTATTACGTTTTTAATTTCCTCGACTAAAGAGAAAGTACCATCTGATTTAATAAACGCGCGACAATAATTAACGAAGATATGTCTACCAATATAATTCAACCCCTCTATAAATACGTTTCTGTTATGTTTCGGCAATATATGAACACCTTATCTTGCTGATTCGCATTTTCTGCGTGTGCGTGTGTGACTATATCTGCTAGTCATCAAAATTGTATATCAATTAATGCATTCTTATAAAGACGCTTTTTAATATTTCCCTTATATCTCTGCGCAAAAATGTATCTTCTTTTTATTTTATCGTCACGAATTGGCTCGTGAATGTCGCATGTAAATATATGCAAACTGGCTGATATGGGACACTATGGGCATTAGAGACCATGTCGTCTCTGTATTTTCTCGTATTCTCTCACGTGTACTTATCTCCGACCGTTTCATTCAAGTTTCCCTCGGCCAAAACTGACTCTATGCGAGTTATCATTTTAAATACAAGTCCTTAGAACACGATCTGCTAAAATGCGCGGACGGAATATGGCGAGATTACAATTAATACAATAGATCGCACTCATGCATTATCAAAATGCGCCATTTTACATTAGTACGTTGCAATAACAGTATATTAAAAATGACAAATATGAATACAAGAGCTCCACACTCTGCTATTACATATTACATGCGACAACTAAAGCTCGAACGAGCGGTAATTTTTGAAGCGACGAGCTAGCAGCTTAGTTAAAAACGCGAAAAGACGGCAGTGATGCGCCTTTTAAAGCTCGTTTAGCGCTTTAAAACCGACCGCGGCCCATTCAAGATCTCAAAGAAATGAAACGGTATAAACGAGTTCGCTCCTAGACTGTAAGTACAGACTATATACCTTTGATGCTTCCGATTTGTTGTTTGCTATTACAGTTAGCACAAGGCGGCAATAAATGCGTTTTTCTTTTAACATGATTATATCGTGAATAAATGCATCCATTAATCATAGATTATTAAAATATCTTAGACGTGAACATACATTTTTGTCATTTAGCAATATAGTAGTATATACTTGAATGAAGAATAATCTGAACAGTAATGCTGCTAGAAATTTTCGTCAGATTTATAGTGTATAAAGATAATTAATCAACAAATGCACTTCTCTTATAATTTATACAATAAATCTATAAAATTATGATGCATGTAATATTATTAGACTAAAACCCGTGTATGCAATTATAATATCAGAAAACCAATTTATTCTTAAAAGTAATTTCTTAATAGTATCAAGATTAAATGTAAACAGGAACTGGTATGCATCATGTGCATACTATACGCATTCGCTTGGTAAATTAATGTTCCTGTTTGAGCAAATTCTATTTTACGTATTTTGGGAAACTCGGTTAATAGCTCGTGTTCCGTGTGAATATTGCGTATTACAACGAAGCGACGAAGAAAATCTCAAATCATTAACGGAAATTTTATATTTGGATTCCACGCGCGAATTATAAAACTGCATTAAAATAATGGGAGGAAAAAAAACAGAAAAAATAGCAAAATCGATCTCTTTCGCGTAGTTTTTAGCATTTAAAATTTTTGGTATAATTTTACACGATGGTACATTCACGCCCTGTTTATTTTGCATTCAACATCGTACTACTATACAGTTAAATTAAAACGGATAGTATATATATATATTACACGTAATATTAGTACATTTTGAATTAGAATTCCAATTGTTTGTCAAAATAAATTGGTATTTGGAATTAACAATCCCGACGATATACATATATATTCATCAAAAGCGTTGCGTGCTTGCGTAAATTACGAACGAATAAATTCTCGGCAAAAGTCCATTATGCAAATGTTAGTGAGCGAAAGGATGTATTCGAGAGAAGGCGCTCTTAAGAAGAGCTCGCTAGAAAAAGACGTTTAAGACGCGTGGTATTAATACATAAAATTTCATCCCGCGAAAATATAACGACCGAAGTTTGTTAATAAGAAATATACGAAGATTCCGCACATTGCTATAAGAAGACGTAAAGAGGTAAAGACCGAACAATAAAATCCGAAGAAGTCGAACGTTTTTCGACTCGAATGGCTCGGTTAATATGCGATAACAGTAGTTTGGGGCCAATTAGATTGGAGAGAGAAAAATCATTGTAGTACCGTCTCGAATGAGACAGTAAAAGATTCTCGCGTGCAAGAAAGAGGACCGACGAGAAGAAGCGGGTAATCCCGGTGAATCGCTCCTTGAATCGACCACCGTCGACGCTGTTGAAATTTTTAAAAGTACCGTAAATCCGTTGTTATCCGCAGTCCTGTAGAAGACAAAAGGTAGCTGGAATTCTCGGCTTGACGGGTATCTAGGGAGCATTCGTGATACTCGTTAAAGTTTGATTAGACTTTGATTGCCGACGGAAAGCGGACCAATTTAAACTCCGTCTCGCGGACTGCGAAAGTTAAAAAAAGAAAAAGAGGAAGAGAGGGAGAGAGAGAGAGAGAGAAAGTAAGCGAAGCGACATCCGGCGACCAAGTGAATGCGGACATTACGTCTCGGCTTTGCTGCGTTCCCTTCATGAAAGAATTTAGTTGAGAGCAGAGCAGCCTGTCTCCCGCTTGTACCACCGATGCGCGGACAGTGTGTTTACAACCGGGATATGTCTCCGGCACCGAGAGTAATTAAACTTTTTCCAATGTGAAATTGCAGGACTGATGTTTGGCAGCATTTGCCGCGCCGATGCATTTTACAGAGAACGCAGTTGCTCAATCGCGGCGAAAAATTTTAAAAAAGCGATATAATATCGTAAGAACGGAGAGAAAACCGGCAAATTGCTAGAGTTGCTTACTTTGCACTTTTATGCGGCAAGTTATGACAGCTAGATAACAGCTCTCTTACGTTTGAATAAAAAAGACTGCAGCACTCTATTAGAAATGTTCGGATCGCGGACGCTTATTTGGATAAAATATAAGTGTCACTGTCACGAGAAAGAAAGAAAGAAAAGGTGACGACCGAGGTAGGTGTAGAAGCTGAAGCTTTGTAAAAAATATTCCGTTTCTTCCGTAGGACTCGGCGTAATTATTATAATAACTCGTGTCGCACGGTTGAAGGATTAAAGAGAGAGAGAGTGCGCGCGCGCGCGCGCAATTGTTTGCCTTAAACAGGATTTTAATGCACTCAAGCCGCTCTTTTGCCGCGCGTCGTGTTGACTATGCACTTTGTCTTACCTGCGTAAATAAGACAGGAGCGAACTCGACGACGCCAGAGAACGGCGTCAGGAGGAATTCTTTGAGTCACTCGACGTTGTTGTGCATGCCCGTGTTAAAGAACACAGTGTGCTACCGGTCATTCAAAAAATCTGTCAGCAGACTGCCAGAGAAAGCAAACTCGCGCAGTGCTTTGAATTCAGGTATTATTAGCTGACATCTGACGCTGCAAAGAACTGTCCCCTCTCTTGTTGATAAAGAGGAATGGCTCCACTTAAAATTCTTGCGCGAGTATGACATCAGTTTAAAATAAAAGTTTAAAATAAAAGTTTAACATAACGTCAAAATATGCCGGCGTATACATATATAAAGAAAGACTGCAAGTAAAATGTAAACATAATATTTTATACTATAATTTGTGTTTCGATTCTTTTATTATTGTCTTTTCTTTAGTTTCATTATTTAAATCGCATCGAAATAATTTGAGCGTCATTAATGTATAGTTTTATCGAAAAAAAAAAATTGTAGTTTTATATCGCGTTCTATCGAGTATGTCACTAAAATTAAAGATTTCGATAAAAGTACACATAGTTACATTGTATAAAATATATTACGCGCACTATCAAATTTTTCGAGCGCACTCGCGAAAACAACTTCCTCCTAGCGTTTTTGAAATATCGCCCGTCAGCAATCGGCCGTATAAGCATCGACGTATCTCAACCCACTGCAGCGGATGGAAAAAAAGAGTTAATATTGACGTTCCCGTTTATCTTGCCGTTGGATCGTGTATCGTGTCCTCCGCGAAGATGTACGGCCTGTTGCGCGTATGAAAACAATGTCAATCGTAGCGCGATAAATCGAACCACTTGGAAATCTTTTCTTGTGTAGCCCGACCAGTCTCTTCCCTCCTCCTCGTTCATTCGTATTCAACAATAAAAGTGCGGTAAAACGGAGAGAGAGAGAGAGAGAGAGAGAGAGAGCGAGACGAGCGAGAAAATCAGAGGCTTTCCTCCGCGTGAACAGAGTTTGGAAGCGGGATTTCGCGCGGAGCAAGGTTTTCCGCCATCTGGACGAGAGAGAGAGAGAGAAAGAGACCAGAGAGGCGAGTTTGGGCCGCTTTTCGAGACGGGTAAAGTAATTCGTTTGAAATCGAAGCAATCCCACGGAAGCCCGAAAGCAATTTCGAAAGAATTGCAGTCTGAGACCCGCGTCCACGTGGTAACCCCGGGGCCAAACAACCGACTTTACCGCGCACGAAAATGCACGAGGAAGACCTTGAGAACCTTGAGCTGGAATTCCCTATTGATTCGCGAAAAGGCTCCGAATTTCTAAGATACGCTTATTTCCCTTCTCTTTTGGGTCAGTGGAAGTCGAGCGTGCAAGTATTATCCTTCCTTATTTTTTCTTCCGGACAATTACGTTCGCTTTCCTCTTAAGGTTCCTACATTTAGAGGTCTTGGTGTCGAATATAAATGAGGGCGAACTTTCGCAACTTGTAATATCCAAAAACCCCCTCATAAATTCTTATCGCGATATTTATCGCATCCCCTTGTTCGATACGAAACTTTTAGGATTAATTCCGGTAATCCTTTTTAGATAGTTACGCGACTTGTATATATGCGAATGGAGTTTCCAACAAGAATATTCGCGTATCGCCCCTAGCAACCAAGTATATCCTCTCCCATTCTCTTTCTATTCTTCGTATCTCGTTTCTGTCTCCTGTTTTTCCTCCGCCTTTCCTGCCTTTTCTTCCGTACAACATTAGCGTTCGAGAAAGATAACGGTAGGGAAGAGGTCTTTCTCGCATCCTTTTTTTTATTTCAAAAGAAGAACCGCCGCGGGTCGAGTCGTGTTTTAAGTCTAGGACACGTTCTCGCGTGGGAGGGCAAGAATATTCGCCATCCGTTTAATTTTCCTAATGGATCAGCGCCGGTGCGCGTTCAATGAAAGAGTGCGAAATAGAGGCTGCGCAAAAGAGGCTGCTACAATTTTCTTTCTACTTGTCCTCTCAGTCCACGTCGGCTTGCTTTACCCGCTTTTACTCCTTGTGTTCATGTTTTCTTGCACCATCGCGGCGTGCCGTGTCGAGTTACCGTTTTTCTCACTCCTGGCGAGAGAAACTTCTCGACTTGAATCATATCTTCTTCTTGGCGTGTCGGTATCGTTACCGACTAGCGTTTCGTTCGCTCGTGGCCAGATTTTGTTTGGTCCTTGTAGGAGATACCAATAAGATACGCAAAAACATTTCATGGAGGATCTCTCTCCTCGCAAATCGCAACCGATTTGTCGGAATGAAGGAAAAGGGAAACACTTGTTCCAGAAAGTGATAAGTGAGAAGCGTAAAGTAGAGATTTACCCTCATTCTCTGCGTGATACAAACGATATTTAATTTGAACTTTTGTACGCGATTCAATATAACGTTAAAGCAACTCTCTACTGCGATGTATGTGCGCTATTTTTATATTTTTTAAAAATATTACAGAAAGACGACGTCTTTATCGAGGAAAAATTTATATTGTTATATCCATAGGAATAAATAATATGTTTTATAAATACATTTATTGCGCGCTACGAAGCAATAAAGCAGAATATTGGTCTGGGGGACGGATCAGAATAAGCAAACGCAGACGTTAAAAACGCAGCACAAAGACTGGCAGTGCCTTCTGTCGCTAACGGACCCCCTGCGGCGCTTTATAGGACAATACTAGAACGGGAACAATACAAAGAGAGCCCGCAAATTGGCTTCGATGGTTTGTAGACGGGTCGCCATTCGGGCAAATCAGCGCCGCGCGGTTACGGTCGTCAAATCAATATTTGCACCTTGCCACCCTCGCACACAGAGAGAGAGGCGGTGTGCAAAGTCAGGCGTGTCGGAATTAGCGAAGAAGGAAGGAAGGAAGCAAGGAGAGTAAGGAGGGTTGGACCCGGCGGTGAAGGACGACGACGACGACGATGATGAGGAGAGGGTGCAGAGAGGGTTGGCGGATCTACGTGGTTGGCGGCGTTGGAAATCGGTGGTAAACTGAATTAACCTCGTGTTGACCCGCGACCGTATGTTACCAATGACTTTCTATTACGTTGTTGGAGAGTCAGGCCGGGTGGAGTCCATTATAATCAAACATTTGCCGCGTTATGGGAAAAGGAATGATCAAAGTGTGTCGTCACGTCAGTCTGCGCAAACGTACCTTACACTCTTTGATCGTTTCACACGCACTTGGCTTCGTTCACGCTAATATAGGATTTGTTAGATTTATCGTGTGTATAGGTATTCGCGCTCGAGAGTTCAGGATATTCGTCGAAACATGCGCGCGCGAAACAACCTTTTGCTTTCGCGTATTAAACGGAAGTTAGTTTCCGATCGTTGCAGCTAAATTCGAGCACGCCAACCTACCAGCAATTTTTGGTATGTAATGCAGTCTGTAGCATATCGATCAAGCCGGCGATTACGTTCTTGCGTTTTGGCTTTTTCGTGTCGACAAGCGACAGCACGAACAGGCGCTCAGACGATGAGTTCTTTGAGTTGATGCCTTTCAAGTTTGCAACGTGGTTTAACGCCACCAATATTACAGGAAAATATACCGAGGCGTCAAGGAACGTTTCCCCTTTGCAGTTACGCGAAAGCGAAAAGACTTTCTTGACAACGAATAGCTATTTCCTCTGATAAGTATATTTATCGGCTCTTTGGTATATGTTTTCTAATTAAGCAGTTTCGTTTAATCGTAGAATAAATTCGAACAATCGTAAAAGATTACATAGAAGCTAATACACCGTAATTAGAAACTTACTTAATTTCATTCGCAAATTGCTTATATAATTTTTTTTGTTACTTCATGAAAATGAATATTTTACAAATTTTTATATCATATTGAATAAATTTGCTCCTTTAGTATCTTCGAGTCGGCTCGAAGTAAAAAGCCTGACAGTAACTCAACTCAACGTGTATATCAATGCGGGGCGCATGCTGTTTGCTGTTTCTCCACGGAATTGTATGGAGAGAGAGAGTTGCAGAAAGCCAGTGAAACTGTCACGTCGCGTTCACCGAAGCAGGGTATAGGTGTTCGTTGATTGAGAGTAATCTGTTTTGTTAATTGCAAGGTCCGCAGAGTCCGATACCTGCGGTTGCGTTGTGCTGCGTTCAGCATTACAAGCTCTAGCTAGCTACTGGCAGCAGTCGCTGCCACCTCCACCCTCGCCGTTAGAATTCAATCCCCTTCCTCCAGCGTTCACCTATCCCGATACCGGCTCACAACATCGTCGACCGCAGTGTGAGCCTGTCCTGGAGACTACGGCGAGGAGGCTACGGGGGCGGTTAACCGACTAATTGCAATACTGGCGCGTCCGCTCGCAGTATTTGTGAAATTACGATCATATCCGCCGTCCTTGCGACGTCTATCAGAGGTATAATAGGTGCCTATACGCGCACTGCGTCCGAACGCGCACTAATGGACCGTCAAAAGCGAAATTCAGCGTTTTTTCCCGCCCGATCCACGTCATTTTTCAGAGAGCACGTCCGTTCGCTTTTTCAGTGGTACCCAATAAAAAAAAAAAAAAAAAAAAAAAAAAACGTAACGTGACTGTTATTGTTGCAGCGACCAACGATCGACGCGTAAATGTAGGAAGTTGAGAAAGGAAACCGGTTCGGCTGACGAATACGACTCTTTCATTTCCCCCGCTATTAGCGCAATAAATCTATTTATTTCTGTGAAAAATGTCTTCTGTAGCTTTTGTAAGATACGAAGCTGTACCCGCGTTTTGCGCAACATGAATGATGCAATTAACCGGTCATAAGTTTTTCTCGGAAAAAGGAATAGTACGCGCAAATTTCTTTTTAATGTAAGAAACTTAAATATAATGAAAAAAAATATATATATATATATATATATATCGTGAAAAACTCTATGTAATAATCTTGCAGGGCAAATTTATATTACTACTTATTTCTTCATTCAATAATTTTACGAGTCGTCCAAGTTGTGTTGCAACTTTGCTCAATAAGATATTTTATCATAAGATCACCTCTTTTTCTCTGCTTGCATTATAATACAAGAATAATCATTTCTGCTAATGAGAAAACTTTTTGTAGTTTTTCTCTCGAACTCGGAACGTGACCAACATATTCTTCTAATAAATAGTCACATATTCATAGGATTATCGAAATTTTAAACTTTTACGATTCAGTGATAATATAATATGTATATAAAGATAAGGTTCCAAGTTTTCATATATATCGACAAAAAGAAGAGAAAAGAATGAAATAGCAAAGGTCTTAAAATTCAAAAATTTTCAAAACGTTTCGTCAATAGAAAAATATTTTCCAAAAGCTTGGGAAATGTACTCACCAGTCGTGTACATAGCGACACCCTTCAAGGTTACCGGCTCGAGAATGGTGGGTTCGCTCCTTCCTTTCGCATTAATCGCGTAGAGAAAAAGTCGATAGCTTCTGCCTGTCGTCAATCCCGCGACTTCGAAAGTCGGCCCGTTGGGACCCGCCGGCACGGTTTTATTTAGCAAAATCGGACCTTCGTCCTCATCCTCAGCCACGACCTCGAGCTGATAACTGTTTATAGGAAGACCGCCGTCGTAGCCCTCCAGGCATCGGACTACCAGTCCTGTTCCCGATTTCGTGCCAAGTTCCTCCATATCCAGGGGCGCCGACATCTCCGTGGCACTGCAATTGTGAAGAGCGTACGGACGACCCGCGGCTATAACCTGAAACAAGGACACAAACCCGAGATAAAGTATATTTGCATTAGTTGAACAATAGATCCTTTACCGCATCGCAAACGAAGCGAATCGTCCTCGCATGAGGAGAAGCTCAAGCCTCAAATGGAAATTTCTTACTCAGTATAGTTTCTAAACAACATCATATGTATATTATCGCAACTGCATACATAATTTAACAAAATGCTTAAACATCGTTATGCTTATACGTCATGCATTCTTCTATCATAGTCTTGTAGAACGATCGATCTTTCCTGCAACAGCAGGAAACGACTTTACACACGTTCGAAGACTCTCATAAGCACGTCAGATATACGAACACAGTTTGTACCATCAAAGAAGGTAACCCCTGCATTCTTTGTAGATACTGTCGATCGATCAAAATGAAAATGTATGGGGCATAGTGATGCCAGAATATACAATGTGTAAAATTTATGAAGGGAAATAGCTGGCAACATGACGTACATCGTGTAAATACCGGAATATTTGAAATATGCAGGATGGTTTAACTTTAATTTATCAAATCAGCAGAGTTAAGAATCGTAACAATCGACGCAGCGATCGAGAGAGAGAGAGAGAGAGAGCTTCGTGCTTCAGTTCTATCAATCAGGGAAAAAGAAATCTCTTGATATCAGATTGAAATAAATTTCGATATTACGATCAACGGATAAAATCATTTCTCCCGTGAAATTTTCACGCTCACGAATAGAATTTTTCTCTTATGACATGCTAAGCAATCTAACAAGATTCTATACAATTCTCGTTCTTGCGTATAGAATAATGTCTGAAAATAAAAAAATCTGCATGCAAAAAAATTTATGGACCGCTCCGAAATATAGTTGATGATGAAAAATGGAACATCAGTTATTCATAAGATGTTATAAATATGTATTGATAAAGAAATGTATTACTTTGTAACGTAAAAGAAATTTTTTTACGGTACTATAAATAAAGTTACAATTCTATAAATGAAATATAAAATATTTGTGAAAGAATATATGTACAATTGAAATATTCTGTTGCATAGATAAAAAGTAATCTCTTTTTTGTAATAAATTTCAAAGTCTGTTTTGCTCAACGATATGACATATTCTGTTTATTAGTTGATGTGACATGTTATATAAATTTCATGAAAATAAAATAAAATTGAGAGAATTTTCAAAAATAGTTTTGAAAATTTTCTGTCAAAGGATTTATAAAATACATCTGCATATAATAAATGTCCCACATTTACCAAATTTTACTAACAAATTGTTAAAACGTGGTTTAATAATAACTTAATAAATTGATAATAATGGTTCTTATATATATATAACAAAAATGTTTTATTTATATATTATTTTCAATAATACATATGTCTTTTTTCTTGTAAATTTTAAACGTCTTAAATTCACTTACAGTTAAATTCATTTAAATTTATTTAATTCAAGAGTATTCTTAATTCTTGATATTTGTCTTCTTGTAAGATATATTCTGTGAAACACTTCATATATAACCGTAGAAATTATTAATGTATTGAGAACTTCATTAGATCGACTTGAAACTGAATAAAAAATCTACATAATCATAATGATATAATATATAATGTAAAATGGAGCAAAATTATCCTTTTTATTTCAATAGAAGCATCTACCACGTCTATATTCACATGCGTTATACGTGCGCGTTAAAAAGATAAAATCACAAAAATTGGAATGTGACACCTCGAAAATCGCGCACGTAAAGAAACGAAAAGGCACAGGCGGAAAAGTACTTGCCTGAAAGAGGCAGGGCGTTCGTTGCTTGCCAACCTGGTTGCTCGCCCAGCATGCCACCGTACCGTAATCCATTTCCGTGGCTGGTGTGTAGTTTAGTCTGGACCCGTGAAACTGTTGGTACTCTTTCAGGTTGTCCGCGACGGATGGCGTCCCGGGCACCGATACGTGAGAATAACGCGAGTGCGGTACCTCGACAAGCTCGCCGGAATTATTGAATGTCCAATGGAAAGTAACCGGCGCCGGATGGCTCTCGACGGAGCAGACTAACGACACGGTTTCCTGTTTCAAAGCGCCTACTACCACCTCGCTCTTGCCCTCCTTGCACACTGGCGCATCTGCAAACAAAGTCGTACTTTGCCAACGAATAGTGGCCCCTCTCTCTTTCTCTCTCTCTAAGAGCAACGATAGAATAGCGCAAAGTTTGAAGTATATAGGAATGATTTATGGTCCGCTTGTCAAGATTAATGTATAACAAAGTGTATGCAGTCTACGTTCTTCTGCCTCGAGAAATTTCATTGTCCGATGATAAGCATAAAAAGCGATTCTGATTAATTTATGTTTCCCCGGCATTGCGCCCAACGTACCGTACGTACAACCGTAAATCAATCAACATTCTGTTCTTGTCGTGAAATAATACTAGCGGCGATTTAAATGGATATTCGACGTTCCGGTATACATTGCACCGGTATTGATACTCGCGCCACGCCGCGTCGTCGATATCCCAGCGAGATCCGCGAGTGTCAAACGGAAGAAGAAGCAGCTCGGTAACGTTCAGCTCGCTGCAACGGTCGATCGATAGTCTAATAGGAAATTCCCTTGACATCGGTATTTGCGATAGGCTATGACATGCGGAAGTCCCACACGGCTGGAGTGATGATTTACGACCGAAGGCTGGGAATCACGGATAGAGAGACTGTCTGGTTGCAATTTGATACAGTCTATGCAGTACTAAATTAATTGCGAAGATGAGAAGTTGGGTAGATACAGAGTTACGTTGCATATCGACGTATCACCCGGATGGGTACGTCTGTTTACACTGAAGATATCTTATGTATATGTAGTCTCATAGAATACAGCAAACTTGGAACGATCGTTATTCCAAGTTTGCTGTATTCTATGAGAAATCAGGTTGATCTTTTCCACTTGCGTTTGACATATTTCTAAAGCGAAAATAACTTCGCGAAATGCCGCAAAATGTTTTCTCGGATATCTCTCTTGGTATATTTCGCGATTCTTTCGCAAACCACCTGAGATGTGGTTGAGTCGTTTATTTTGCTCAAACATCCTTTCGCAGCCATCCTATTTGATTTACCCTCCATTCGTAAAAATACAATTTATTTTAAAAATTCACTATTTTCATTAACCTGAATGATTTAGGAAAATATGACAAGGAACAATATTATATTTTACGTTGGTATGTATTTCTAAGAAACGTACACAATTTGAATAATTTCGCAATTTCTCCAGGATAACCAGACAAATTTGTCGGGTCGACGTCTATTTCGCTTGTAAAACATTCAACGACAAACATACTCTTCCTTCTTTTCTTCATTCTAACAAAAACGAATTAGATGTTTCATAATATATGTTCAAAAACCCAGAAAGTCGCATCGCGTGTGTTCATTGATTATTTAGTGGCCAACAATCAATGCTCTGTCTTATCTATTAATCCTACTTCAATTGAGATACTTTGGGAATAAAAAAAATACATCAATGCAAATGAAGCTAATAAAGACATAAAGAGATTGAGATATGTGCGCGTAATTGCTTACTATAAAAAACATGTAATTTAAATTGCGGTTTATTAGAGATTAACCAGATTTAAATATACGCTAGTCCACACACACATACACACACACACACACACACACACACACACATATATATATATATATATATAACAATAGATATTAGCAAACTTCTAGATTTGTGAATCAAATGTGTGTTGATCAGAAAGCTTCCCACACTTACACGATTTGCATTGCAAACAGTTAAAGTTGTTTAGAATGAAATTTACAGATCTTACTATCTCACAATCAAATACACAATACTCTTGTACAAAATAAAAATTGCAGGAAATATTTAATTTTTCTTTAAACTTGCCCTTTGCAAATAATATTTTTGTTAAACTATGCATTTTTAAAAATAAATTTAGCAGAATGTATAATAATTTTATCACGGTGTGCAGAGAGCGTATATATTTATATTAAAAAATCTACATATATTACTACAAAAATACATCGTGACATTCTTTATAATCAAGTGTCAAATTTATCGCGAAACCAGCATGCGATGCAAACGAAATTACACAAAAAGTGAAATTACGCAAAATGATCTCGAATGCAGGGAAAAATCTTTCGTGTCTGATGACATACGACTTGGCTATTTTGTAATAATACTATCGTGACGAATATACATATATCGCGATGAAACTTTATCGCGGTTCGCGTAGTCCCTTGCACGAGTGCAAAGAGATCGACGTCATCGGTTCACGACGCGACGTGACGGATTTAAAATATCGGGACGGATTTCGCGGTCTCTCCTTGAGTTACGTACGCCCCACCGTACGTCTACTCCGGCCTAGCTTAGCACATTGCCAGTCTGCGTTCACCCACACATGAATATTCAGCTACGCTTTACATACACTGAATATGCATCGCAGTCCTTCCTTCCCTCTTAGGTCATTTACAAGATGCAGATAACGCCAGGTACCCCCATGGCACCAGGGGCACCGACCATTCTAATAGAATAATCCGCGTTCCGTGTTTCACAGAAAACTATACACCCTATCTCTCCCGTTTGCCCCTTTATCCTCCTTCGTTTTCCCGTTCCATCCCACGAGTTCCCGGAGAACCGTCGAGTTCGTTTCTCGTGCGTTCGACAAACGCCTCTCGCCGTGCTTGCCTCTGTTCACACTGCGGAGTTGCTTACCATCGATTAAGTAATTATCAGGGGGATCGTAGCTGCGATGGGTAAATTGGGAAATCGATGCCGCGTTATGAGAGACATACGTTTTAATGCTATTAGAACGATATTGTTTACTCGCGGATCATTTTATCGATCGTAATAATTCGCTTATCAATTAGACAAGTGGTGACCGATTGCCGGGGACTTACTTACACATTATCTGAAGAGACACCGGATTACTCGCGGTCTTTCCCTCGCTGTTTGCCGCGAGACAGGTGTAATCGCCGGCGGAATAACGCGTCAATCCTTGAAGGACCAGGGAGTGATCGCTGAGTACTACACCCGCCGTAGAATTATTCTTCAATTCTTTACCCTGCAAACATGTGCAAATTTTGCTAATTATGATAGAGCACGAGTATGGCAGCATTTCCTTAATTGCAATTATAATGTAATTTGAAAATGCTCGCGCATTAATGGAAGCTGCGCGGTGAAAAACTACGCGGAATGGTGTATAAATATATTGTATATGCGCGCGCGAGTTATCTAATGGAGAAGTAATTAAATTTGCATAAACCGACGAAAGAGCAGAACGGTTTGTGTACGTACAACAAAACGGCAAATATACCGTGAGAATGTTTCTTCGGGTATCGTGATAGACACGCGAGAGAGTGTGTTCGCGATATTACTTACGTCCTTGAACCAGGCGAGCTTGTACACCTTTGGATTTGCCCGTACTATACACTCAAAGTACACGTCGTCTCCCTCTTTGATGTCGTCCGGATTCAGGGTTTCGCCCATCCTTAGATTGACCACGGGCTGATATTGTACGTCGAGTCGCCACTTATCCTCCAGCGCGCTGTCAGGAATAGCGGGATTTTCCGCGCGGCACGTCAAGTATTTGCCATCGTCTTCTATTGTTGGCACGAAGCTGAGGATACTCAAACTTTGATTGTTCTCGAGCGAATACTGTAATTAAATATCCGTATTGATTGGAATCGATTCTTCCGAGTGCGCGAAATTGCATACCTACATGTGCATGCGTGAATTATTCAATTTATCCGAATGAGTCAAAGCTATTTCATCGATTTAGGAGTCAATTATTTCCATGATTTTTAAACACGCATATATATATATATATATTAGAAATTTAAAGCTCGTGTGATTAACGTAATCGAGCGCGCGCGCGACCTATTATAATCGCGTAAACTAATTAGCGCATTAACACGCTCTGCTATCTTCGCACACGATTCGTAGGCGTAATTTGAATATTTCTCATTTCCGGTGTTAAAAGCGCCGTATTCATTTTTCATAGAGCGTCACGCGCGTTCGCTGCTAATATTAATTTAACATCGTTGGAAGCTGTTAGGCCGAAGTGATGCCGAAATAAAAGAGCGCCCGAGGATTAACGGTTTTTCAAGATTTATGATGCTTAAAGCAACGACGGGAAATGGAGGATGAAGGGACCAGGGCACGCGGGTCACATCGCTGACGCTCTCTCCATCACGGTCTGTGTTCCTCCCGCTTTCACGATGTCATTTTAATGATAGCACCATCGGGCATATATATCGGAAAAGCCACGTATCCGCATCAGTATCACGAATACGATGAATGGAAGTAATGGTTCGTCAGGATTAATGTGGCGTTGCTCTCTTTCTCCCTCTCTCTCTCTTTTTCTTTCTCGTTTTTTCTGTCTCTTTTGCATTTTTTGTAAGCTTCGCTGCGTTGCACTTTCAGTGCACCTCGGTGTGCGACGCGATCGAATTTCCCGATAAAACCCTCCGGACAGTCCGACACACGGGCATCGATATATCCTGCAGAGGTAGATCGTACGCGGAGTGACGTTACGGTCACACTGTTCGCATACGTCGGTTGAATGTTACCAGCATGGTATTTTCTCTAGCTCCGCTTTCTAAAGGGACTCTCGCGGGGACGTGACGTGAAAAAAAGATTTTATACTTAATCGATTTAATAAAATTCTATCTCGCCACGCATAAATCCGATAATGTCTTAATTATTTCCCGACGCTTCTCACGAAAGGCGAGACTCTACGATTTTTTTTTCTAAAATAAATGCAAACGCGTTCAGCGAAAGAAAAACAAGGGATCTGCAAAAGTTGAATATGTATCAATCTCTCGAGAGTATCGCAACTTATTCGTAAAATCTAAAGGTAAAAATATCCATTTTTCTATTTGCATCACGCGTCGTTCACGAGAATGATATTCTCTTTAGAATTTGTTCGGAATTTTCAATGGGAAACGTATTGATAAAAAAACTTTTCTCGTTGAACAAATGTATTTAACTACGTAGCAGCAGAAAAAAAAATTGTAATACAACTTTTTGTGAAATATTCCGATATGTCATCATGTAATGGCCATCACAAGTGCTTCAAACATTTTTGTCCGCGAATGAAATAATGACGTAATAAATATATATATATATATATATATATATATAGAATAAGCATAAAACGGTAATGTTCGCTCTGTCATCGTAAAATCCTGATAAACCAAAATGGTGGATACTTTCATCAGCTTTTGAAGCTTATCTAATGTGTTTTTACATACGTGAAATTAGCGTTTTATACGATGTATGTATGTGTGTGTGTGTGCAGTACAATAATGGAAATGGTTAAAAATTTACATTATTTTAATGGATATATTCTGATTCATATTTTAAATAAAATAAAACTCGACACGTATATAAAATATATAATATAATATATATATATATATATATATATATATATATATATACATAATGCACGAGTGTTTAAATTATTAAATTTATTAAAACTCTTGTGCGTGTAACATAAATTATATTGTTTTGAAATATGTCATATCTTACGTTAGGTTACAGTTATGTAACAGTCATGTAGCAACAGTTCATAAATGATCAAATTATCAATTAGGTACCTCTTTATTATTATGAATCAACTGCAATTAAAATGGACCTACATGTTGCTTTAATATGTACGCATAATTATCTTAAAACATCGTAACATTGTGAAAACGTGGGATGCATTACAAATATTATATCATTCAATGATACCGGTGAGTATTGCATTTAACATTTGAATTGTTAAACTCCGATAACTGACTCCTGATATATATTACACATTAATTCAGAAGTAATAATAAGAGCGATGTATTTCAATGAATTTACGATTGATGCAATCGTAATTTATTAAAATGACACAAGATACAATCGATAGAGGATATATTTTTATGTAAAAGAGTAAAACTTTTGGAGTATATATATATATATTGCGAAGTTACTATCTGAAATAAGAGGAATAGATACATCTGGTGAGACATTTTAAAAATTTAACGTTCCCAACTATTACTGAAACATTTCGTGATACCGGCGATGGACAGACCTTTACGTGCCGCGCGTATCAAAAATAGGATAAGGAAAGTTAAACCTTGAAAAAATTTATCAAGCTGGGAGCCACTAGATCGCGCGAACTTTCGTACTCTCTCTGTCACTGCGAAGGCAGATGTCAGAGGGATTGGGGCCGAACGAAACGTAAAAGCAGGACGCACGAAAAGTTGTCCGCAAGAAAAATGAACGAAATAACTGCATCATCCTAACTTCCGCACGAATCGTCGTAAACTGCGGCAAGTTGCGGGACGCCGATTTTAAGAATTTTCCTTAGAATTGTGTGGTACATTTCCGACGCTAACCGTTTGCAGGATCTTCGAGAAGATACGAATATACTCACGTCCGACCGAGACAATATTATCTCGATAAAAACACTCGGCGCAACTTTTCCGAACTCGAGTACTCGACAGAGTCCAGAGGGATCTCTCTTCTTTCGCATGCGAATATTTTTGTCGATTTTCCAGTCAGATAATTCCTAATTCTCTTATAAAAACATATTTTAACTTTCACCATAATATCAGTCTACTTTACATATCGCAATATTGGGTATATATCCGGTTAAATATATTTTGTAGGTAGAGATATATCAAAGGAAATAATTTTTCGCATTATAATGAAAGAAAGAGAGAAAGAGAGTTCTTTAGAGAGAATAAAAAATTTATACTGAAAGATACTTGAATTCATCCTCGATTTTATTTGCGTCATTTTATAATTAGTATTATAAATTTGCTTTGCTCGCAGAGCAAAGAAGTTACAAATCAAATACAGACATTCAACGTGTTCAAAAAGAGTCCGAGAGAAACTTTTTAAAAAAGATTTTGTTTTTCCCTTTATATTTAAATGATGTACTGTATTCCCTTTTTTTAGATTGATTTCTATTTATGCTTTTCATAGCAATTTTATCGCACATGAGATAATTTACACATGCAACCTATATATATTAGACTTACGGTTTGAGCCATCTTCTTGATCGACTTGTTTGCTTTCCACCATGTGATCACTGCTTCTGGCCGTGAACCGCTCGTACGACATTCCACGTCATAATTTTTGTCGGCTGAAACTCGCGTTTCCTTCGTCAAGATTTGAACTACCAATGGTTTTACTGTAACAGTAAAAAATGATGGTTTTTATATGATCGTAAATATAAAATGCAGCATTTTTTTAAATACCTTTTTGTAAGAAAAATGAGATATTGCAATATTGAATAATTAGTAAAACCTTATGTCTCGATGAAAAAATATTTTGCATGTTATTCATTTATTATCTATAGTAATGTGTTTTATTCTCATATAAAAAAAAAAAATTAAATATAAATATTCTCACATTTATATAATACTAGTAGTTTTTATTACATTAGTCTCTTTCTCTTTTTTTCTTTCTAATTGTATTATTTAAAAAGATGTACATTGTAAATATATTAAATAAAGTTATATAGTTGGAGTACGGTCTCTACGTGCAAAGCCAAGTTTCTGCAATGCCGAACATTAATTTAATCAACTTTATGCGCGGATCGCTACTGCTTCAAAGTTCCCTAGCGAGTGAAATCGCGAAAACGGCTTTCTATTACTACAAAAGCATTCGTGCTCAGTTTTGTGCCGGGAAAAATCCGGGAATAAGATTAAACGGTCGGAATAACGACGAGACCAGAGTGTTAATTCTATAGGGAAGCTACGGAGGAAACGTATTCGCACAAAATCATTCCGAAATTTCGTTGCCCGGTAAACGACTACATTCGCTTCGCGAACTACAAAAGGAATTAAAGAGGATCATCGCGAAGCCGCTCAGTCGACAGTCGCGATTAAAACCCTGTTCTTCGCGCGACACAATGATACATTTTAATTTGTTTAATTCCTAAAGTCGCAAAAGAGAGAGAGATAGAGAAAAAGAGAGAATTGTATCGTATCTTGTGTCGTTTACGATCGTTGTAAGAGATTTTCCAGAAGACGAGCCAGCGTACTGTTTAAAGTAGCAAGTCGCTCTTATCGTTTATTCTCCTTTACGCGCCATTGAAATATTACACACGCTTGTAGAATATTCTTTTGTTGAACAAAACTCGATCGTGTATAGCTCAATCATAGTTATTTTTTTCACAATTGACTCTTCAATCACCAACTTTTTGTTCTCTTACTCAATCGTTTATTTTAAAATCCACTTGTACTGAAACATCTGCGATCTGTTGTATTCGAAATAGCTTCAATGATCTTGATACTAAAAACGATACGGAATAATACGTTTTCTGATAGAATTAAAGTCTCAATACTAAAATGCAATCGTATTTTCTCTCTTTCTCCCATAGGTGACCAATATCTGTTTCCAATATCAATTTTATTCTCTCTCCGACCTATATTTCATGCAACGCTGATTTAGAAATTTGATTCAATGTTTTTATATTTAAATGCTACGATTGTATTTATCTAAGAAATGCAAACGGTTAACCCATGAAAGAAGAAACAAACATTATTTTAGAAATAAATATTCCAAGGAACATCAGAGGAATTATCGTCAAATCTCAAGCTTAAGTATTATTACTTCTCATATCGATCCATCCTTGACCCTAATATCACAATATAACGAATGACTATACCGTACGATGTGATGTATCTATCTATTAATATGAAGAAAAGCAATTCGGAAATTACACAAGATTATTTCATTCTTCAAGCTCGCGCTTGTAGTATCTTGATGTCTTGCGCCACACGTGGCGCGATTATTTAATATTCATTATTTGATATCCATATTGATCGCAAATGATCGAGCTATCTTTAATATTACGTTGGTGGACGCGCGGTCGTCCTCGTAAATTTCAACGCACGCTTATGCGCCGCCACGGCCAGCCACTCATACAACCCCTAATTGCCATTAGTTGGTAGCCACTTCTCTGAAATTGGTTCCTCCGCGTTTCGCCCTGTACCCTCTTCCTGACATTTACACTCGCCCACATACACACATACATGGATACACCACATATATGCACATGCACATGCATGATGTCTGTTCGATGGTCCTCGTGTTGCTCTGATCATATATTTGCACTTAGAAAAAGTTTCATTCATTCGAATCAACTTTTGCATCTACTAATCCGATGGTCAAGGATTTATCTGTTTAATAAGAAGAAAACGAGAGGATTGCGAAAACCACTTTGTTGCACAAATGCAATGAAAAATCGGTTTTATCTGTTTTTCAGATTGATGTTTCTCGTTTTAACAATGCCTTGATAAATATCGCGATTACGTTCGAAAATAATTTTATTTCGCACAAGAGGTGGGTCTGACATATGCATGAAGATTCTACAGTACGGATTGCATATCGACAGGTGCATCATTGGATGCACCATCGAGTATCGTAATCGCACCCTACGATTTCCGTGAAACGAGGAGAAACGATTGTATTTATTTTCGACGTTCAATTGGAGAGAGAGAGAGAGAAAGAGAGCAAGAGCACGAAATGTCGGTGCGTTTTATTGGAGAAACCGAGAATAATTGATTCTCGGTAGAATGATATCAGTAGAATCAAACTTTCGACGTTGCGGCTCTATTGTCATTCGTAATTCAGCAATCGTCGACGGCTTTGACAAATTGTTCCACTCTATCAGCCGTGCTAGAATGTCATGCTCGCACGCTTGCTTCTAGTGTTTTCATTAAATAACCTGTTAGTTTAATTTTCGATTATCGAAAATTTGAAGAAATAAGAAAAATTCAAAAATAACTAAAAATATTTTCTAAAAATTGTGCATCCTTATATTTTCAATCTTTAACGTAAAAATACAGCATTGAGAGAGATTGGAAGTCGATCAACCTCATAATGTCAATATAATAGAGAGTGCCGCGAAAAGAGTCGTTCTTTCTTCCTATTTTCCATGCGTAGAATCCAGCTCGTTTTATCGTTAATCGTAATGTGTATCCATCAAGTTTTACTCGTGTATTATCGACTGCAACGACCATCGACAAACAATCATCCTGTGAATTAACGCTCGCTCACGGGTCGCGCCTTAATGGCTTCACGCGTGTGTGTTTACCATAGCGTTATCGTTTGTTCGTATATAATTCCCTTAGTCGAACGAGTGCGACTGCTCCCGGGGACTCTGGCGCACTTATCACATACAAACCCAGCGGCTCTTCGCACCTTCTCATTTATTTCCAGACGTCTCTAAAACACGGCCACCTGCTCCGAAAAGCGCGACTCTCGGCGCCGTCTGACCGAAATCAATGCCTCGTAGAAGCCATCGACGAAAAGCACATGGCTCACGGCGAAGAGAAATCTCTCGGTCTTATCGGGGAAAACCAAGTCGAGATAGCCCCCCTGATGAATGACGATGATGTTCTGCGCGCCATAGAAACGCCGCGCGAGAGTCGACGGGAGAAAGAGAGGGAGGTTATTAATTATTATCAAGTGAACAGTCCTGGCGCGCGCATGACCGCGCACGAATGAACGTCGCGCGTGAAAGTGCGTGCTAGTATGCGTGCGTGTATGTGCGCGTACGTGCGTGCGTGCACGCCGATGCGCGCATGACCGGATGCAAATTGGCGCAATTGCAATTGGCAAGTCTAGCGAGCCGACTGGTTACCACATTGACGTCGATTTTAATTCTTAACCCGGTGTGTCATGAATCCCGGGCGTCACACGAATATATATATATATGTATATATACGCTTCCACCATTTGTGTTTCACTCTGGCAAAAAATTTATGAACAAAGCGCGCAATTTGCATGCTACGATGCAGACATATACCAGGTCACTCGAAAAGCTTTCGTCACGCTTAGCCGCGTCACGCGTTTCGTGCCCGCTTACTTATTTTTCACATTCTCACTGATCAAATCTTGCTACAGCGCGATGTTGTAAAATGTCGTAAAATTACAATTACTCAGTCTTTAATTGACCTATTATTATATGTATAAGAAAACTTTTCTCGAGTGCTATTTCTTTTTAATTTTCGAAAATTCTTCTAAATCTTTGCAACACGGTTCTCTTTGGTCTTGAAAATTAGACGTGAAATTGGCCAAATTGACATAGAAGCGAAGGGTTAAATCATGGTGGAAGATAACTCGCATTGTGCTCAAAGGTATTTAATTTTCCGCTAAAATTTCAACGTGATTTATGCGGCGGCAATTAAGAATGAATTGATACGCATTCGAGCACGCGGGAACGTGGGCATGCATGCTTATTATTATTTGGTCTATCGAACGAATTCGACGCGCATCGCAATGTATGAATTAATAGGCATCACCCGCGGGAGTGTACGAAATTATTCGCATACGAGAGTATGCCCGCACATCTACTCTACTATCCGGTTATGTATATCGTTGCTGTAGGATCACACAGTTGTTCGCAAACTATCATTCCGCATAACTATGGGGAAGCTTTAATATATTCAATTCCTTTGAATAGAAGCAATCAAAGTCATTCTCCGTGTGATCGCAAAAATGCGAAGAATGAGCAATTTGTCTACACTGACGGATAAGATCGTTCATTTAGTCGTCGAATCAAGAATAGCCAACATTTTCTGATGATTAAACAATACGCCTTTGATAGCGTATAATTACGTTCAATTTAGACTCGTTCAGTCTAGTAATTGTTTTCGGCAAAAGGATTCAGTGTAACCAGAGATTAATTCCTAATCGATGCTTTTTCTTGATATTTATTATTAATCTTGCGTTATTAAATAGAGTGTTGGCGTGCATTGCGACACTTATATCTCTCCCTCAAAACGTGATGGCCGTGCACGCATGCATGTCTGTGACGTGCGATCGGCGAGATCAATCGACTATACGAATTAGCGCCTCTTGCAGCTACGTCGAGTACTAATGCTTTCACGCGTGTTTACATTAACGTTATCGCCCCGGGAAGGTTCGAACAGTTTCTTCCCACCCCTCCAGTCTGTCTGAAACGACGTTACTGGGTCATTACGAGTCGAACCCTCCGCGCACCCAGTCGCCACTTACGCGATATCTCGGCGCGCCGAGTACCTTCTTACCCAGCCGTCATGCGGGGGCGATTAACGCACGCACGCACACGCGTGCACAGAGAGAACGCGGAGTTCTCGTCACATCTATCGACCCCCGGGGTCCCCCGGCAACAACACAACGCACACGGACTTGGCGCGCCGTCGCACGCCAAACGCTCACAAGCACTGGGGAAAACACGAAATCGAAGCTGCGCGGGCAAGTCGAGAGGCACGCGATTCACTGATCCGTCTTACGAGAGGCGTTACCGTTATCTCTATCGGTTAATCTCTCGGCCCGACGACTAATAGGTTCAGCACGTGAATACCTTGGCCCGGCTGCAGGACCACGTGAAAAGGCCTTCGGTGCACGTCTTCTTGTGACCGTTCAAGCGATTCGTCTAGCGATGCAGACGGCTAGCTGCGAGAACTAACTAAAACACTGGTAGCAGCTCAAATAGAATCTTATATATGTACAGGTATATCTACATCGATTCCTTGGGAATTCGTCTCCTTGCAAACGTCAGATTCCGCCGATAGATACGCTGCTTGATTATTCTTGAAGGTGATAAGTTAACGAGCGAGAGATTTCCTAACGCGATATAAATGAAATTCTTTTTTGTCGAAGACTGAATTATAATCTACATTCTTGTGGTTGTAGTACAGGATACAACAGGGCGTTAAGGATCAGCGACTTTATTCTGAAAGTTATTGTGACGTTTGTGTGCCGCGTTTCTCCATAAATACAAAGTAGGAATAAACATCCATTTCAGGGAGATATCATTCTTAGATAGGAAAATACGTGGATACGCGATTAAATGTTTTTCTTTCGCAAAACGCATCAACTTGTCGGTATAGTTTCACGTTTACCGCACAACGCGCAAATGGAGAACTCTCGTACCTCGTTATGCACGCGATAATTGCGTACTTACATTAATGGTTACACGGAACTACGTATATCCAGCACTTTACGTCCACGGGGCACGTTTACGTTTAACGACTGTGCTATATACAGCAAAATATGAGAAAAGGTAAACAATAATTTTCCATAGCTCCCGACGCGATAACTATCGATAATGTTATATATAAAAAAACAACAATAATTATAATAATTTATGTATAATATAAACTATATATTTGCGTACTTTGATACTATCTCATTTCGAAATATCACTGTATTAGTCGTATATATATATAAGTAGTGCTCGAGGGAGCACCGCTAACAAGTTTCGTATTCAGTTTTTTTAACTTTGAAATTTTTTTATTTAGAACAGATTAAACTAGATGCAGCAGCTGGTTGATAAATTGCTACTCCAATAAAAAAATTTACGAAAAAAACTACATTGCACGAGCATGCAACATTACAGAGATTGACAAAGTGAATAGCATAAGTAGAGCATTTCTTGATCGTTATTCACTATGGATGTACATATATTAATCGGTGGTTCGTTTTAATCATCACTGAAACGGTCCTTCCCTTTTTTTGCGCAAACTGATCGACATTGATGATTCAGCGCCAAAATCATCACTTATTACACGGGTTTTCTTTCTCTCTCTCTCTCTCTCTCTCTCTCTCTCTCTCTCTCTCATTCTCTTGTTTATGTAAAAACACTATTTCGGACATATAGTATTTATGTAAATGCAATTATCGTTCTCGCGTGATGCCGAGTGAAAATATTACGCACACCGGACGCAGAGTCTGTGGGGACCCATTTTTACGCGACGCACTGAATCATTTGGTTAATACATGCCACCATGAAAAGCAAATGTCGCGTTGTCATAACATTGCAAATTAGAATTACGCTGTTGCGACGACATGCGTAAATGCGATATTTAATGCCGCGCGAAATTGGGTCGCGTAGGAACTCGAGAGAGAGAGAAAGATGAGAGCTAAAACCAAAACAATTACTTTCATCGATCTGCATTTTCAGCGGATATTATAAAAAAATAGATGCAAAAAGGACAAGAAAAGATAAAATTGTGAACGACTTACGATTCACGTCGAGGACGAGCAGCTTGGTTTGCGGTTCCACCAAGTTCGTGTTGCTGGCCTGACAGATCAGCCTTGCCTTGAGGTGCTGTCGCCCAATTTTCGGATACGCCAAGTGGTTAACCGTGATCCCGTTCTCGGCGTTGTAGTGATAGGACTCGTCTATCACGGTGTTGTCGAGATACCACGTCAGCTTCGGGGGCGGTTTGCCGCCACGAACCTCGCAAATCAGTTTCACGTCGCTCCCCTCGTTGTACGGCTCCTCGATGTTCCGGACACTCTTCATCGCCTCGTCCAATATTATCGGCTTCGACGGAGGCACTGTGCGAACAGCATGCGTTGTTAGAATCCGGAGCGCGGATACGTTAATCGATCGTTTGTCAAGGGAAGCGACAGTCAGCGCGAGGGAGAGATGCGTATGCGGTCGATGTGGTGGAATCCGGGGAGAGAACTTTGGGCTCTCTCGGTTGTAGCAGAATTAACTGTTATAATGGGGCCCCAAAACAGGTCATAGTTATACCAAGTATAGTATATTACCGCGGTGCGGAGCTCTCTCTCTCAGTTTGCGGAGCAAACCGCGCGGCTTACGCCGGGATTAATTTATGCGCCGGAAAGCGCCGAGTTCATAAGTCAACGCCCACGAAATGTATCGAGAGCAAATGTATACACAGACCGACGCAACGCGCAAACTTTACGGATCGCCTGACGAATTGTTGCGTTTATATATTTAGCGTCGTTTAATTACGCGTCAGGTGTATGAGTGTACGTGTATGTTTGGTGTACATGAAAACCCTGTTCTCTCTCGGAGGTGCTTCTTGCTCCGATACTTTGACGCGACCTCCATTAAACCGCGTTTGATCAAAAGGACCGACTTTAATTGTTGCGTGATCGCCGGCTTGATTGAGTTTCACCGCGATACAATGCGCTCACCTATAACGGTTAAGTTCATCTTTTGTTTCCGCGTCGGCGAGTTTCTGAAGTCCACCCGGCACCGATAGATCCCTTCGTCCGTGCTCTGCAGCCGGTCGATGCTGAGGTGAGCTGGATTCGACGCCGTGATAAAAAAAGCTCTTGGTCCCAATGCCGCGGGCGACGACCAAAGACGGCCGTTGCTCAATTGACGGTGACCGCGTGCGTCAAAGCTGCAACAAATCGATTAGCTCTCCTGTACTCGGCCAGTAACGATTGCATTCACTCTGTGAATTATTACGAACCTATTATTAATATATAATATACGCGCTGCATTATTGATTATACGTTCGCATATATAATATAACATGAAATTTCTGTGTTTTTCTCTTATATATATGTGCGTGTGTGTGTGTGGAATACTAGAATGTTTCTGCGCGGTAGAATACTCGTCCCTCATCGTAATAAGAGTCAATTTATCGTAGGTAATTACCGCTTTGCTCGTTATTCGTATCAAAAACTGTGCCAATTTAATTACATAATTTGCGATGTAATTGCAGTCAATTGAAACGGCTATACTAACGTCGTTATTGAAAGCTTGTCGTGATTAAATTAATTATAGTTACCATAAATGATGAACGTTATATTTCTGAATAGTGAGTGATGGAAACGTATAACATCTCGTTACAAGTTTTCTCGGTTATAAAATTAAATACCTCTAATCGCGTGATAATAAAATTATAAATCAGTACAATTGCGTAATTAAATTTATAGCATGTGAAATCTAATAACAATTTATCGATACCACCACATTTTTTTTTTTAATTTAATTGCGAAGAATTTTTGCCGGACGTAAATTCTTTTAAATTACCATTCTCGTGGATGATTAGTTAAAAAAAATTAAATTCGAAATCTTTGTTGATTAAATATTTTCGTCGCTTTTTTTTTGCTCTCGGGATTCAAACATATGTATACTCTTATCGCGATTAACTGCATTAGAGAATCGTTCGCGAAACTACGAATTCGAGAGACTAGTAGTCGAACGAACACACACACACATATATATATATATATATATATGTATATATGAAAGTCACATGGGAGTCGTTCCTAGTGCGTGATTGCATATTAAGCATCCGCGGATGAGAGCGCAAGGATGGGAACAAAAGGAGACGGATTAGAAGGACGGTTGGAGGATATATAAGAGGGTTCGCGCGTGGGACGGAAAGAAGAGAGGTAACTCGAAAGGGAGAGAGAGAGAGAAAACGGAGAGGAGAACAGAGAACATGACTGAGCTTTCTAACGGCTCCCCGCGAGCGACTAAAAGTTAAATTGCGTTCCGCGACTGCACGAGAGTTCGGATTTTCGCTCGTGACTGAGTATTCCCAAATCGCCCACCTCCGCGTTCGCTTCCGCGGCATTGACGTTGAAATACGATTTAATTCTTCCACTTCGCACTTTCAACAGATAAGACCGGACACTTCCGCCTCGTTTTGTCGTAGATATAGAGTCCAGCCCCTATATACGGAACCCTTCGGAAAAGCGGTCGAGTACAACACGTTCCGTCCGGAAAACGACCCGCGGATATAACACGTTTGACCGACTTTTCTCGCGAACGATAATCCTGAAAAGCGATTTTCCCATATCGGTCTTCCGACTTCGGCTCCTCTCGCGTTCGTCGATGGCGGGAGCGACTCTCAAGATCGATCGGTCGACTGCCTACTCACCCGACTCGTCGATCACGACTCGAGAGGCTGATTCGTCGAGACTCTCCGGAAAGGCATCGCCTACAGGCGTTTCTTCGTTATCTCGGAAGATTGCAGTGTAGATTAACTCTGTGTTGCTCTTTGCAATTCGCGAGAAACGATTTGCGGATCAAGCGGCGCTCAACATTTTGGAAAACCGAGCGCGTAATAGACGAGAGAGAAAGAGAGCGAGTTTCGATAATATAAAACCTACGGAGAATCGATTTTCTTCGTTTATATTGTATGGCAAATTACATGTATTTGTAAAGATGAAGAAGAGTAATTTAAATTGTCGAGACGATTTATTGCGGAGATGTTGCGAAAAACACTCGAGATCTCTGTAGGCGAACGTGTCTTCTATTTAGCTATTATTTTCTACTACGAGCGCTCGCTAAAACAGCGATCATTTTATAAAGTCTCACGCGAGAAAAAGAATTTACCAGGTCACTTCTGTGGGTCTAAGTGTCTTGAAACTTTCTCGAAAAAGAGAGAGAAAGAGAGAGGGAACGCGGAATGGAATTGAGTGGATTCGATTTTGCGAAGTGTTATCTATTATAGGTAAAATGCGAAGACCGCCCAAGAGATTGTAAATATTACCGAGCGTTTTGTTCGATCGAGACGCTGAGTGCTCAATATTATAGAGTAATATTGAAACCCAAAGATCTCTAATGCGATCGCGATCAAATATTATGAAGAAATGCAGTCAATCGTTTTCGACTCTCCCTATCTTCCTCGTCTTAACTGAATGAAAAATTAAACGAGCTTCCGGGGATAAAGACGACACGGAGAAATTCAATCATATTCAAAGATTGCGAAAATTTTGTTGAATAAGATTAATCAATAAGATTAATGCAGTTAAATGAAAAAGCGAGGGAAAAAAACTCGTTCTTTATGCAAATAAGTAACAGCTCTCGGGGAAATCACGATGAGATTCAAATGTCATGCGGGTCACCTGTATCGCGGGCTGAGATGTTGAATACATTTACAAGAAAGGAGGCTCCGAGAAAGGGTTACGATCGTATCCGCGTAGTCTCTTGTAGAGCTTCCTCTTCTTAACGGTCTAGCGTACGTACGATAAGCGAGCACGATGTCACGCAATAAATATTTTACTCCGAAAGGTCCCGCGAAGGGAAGAGTCGACGCCAAGCAAGGGGTTGGAAGGGGTTCAACGAGGACAAGGGGGTGAGACGAAGCTTTAGTACGACGGCCGCCTTTAAATTTAAAGTTCCTCGTCGCGACGAGGATTAAACTGACTTTACAACAAGCGGGATGACGGCGTTTCTCGAAGCCGAGTGCCAGCTCGACACCCCCTACGCTTTTACTACGCGGGGGTACACGATGCATTGCCATCCCCCCGTACATATCTTACACCTTATTACATTTCTTAAATATGACCCGTCGGGTACTCCAAAGTCCTCCTCTCCTTTCCCGAAGAGGCGTCCTCTCGCCTCCTTTCTGACTCCACGGACGATGAGGAGGACGGCCATTCTATATGCAAAATTTCACAGGCCGCGGAAGCGAAACGACGACCCTCGAGTGGAGCGAATGAACTTCATCGCGGAAAATAACGCGAGGAATTTCCGGGCCTGAGCCATCGCGCTCATTCCTTTCTGATTTCTTCCGAGAAAGTGAACTTTATATAGACGGTATGGATGATTTTTGCATTCGAGAAGAGGTTATTCGAGTTCGAGAGAAATCTTTTTTCAACCGCGTCTCCGTCCGACACGTTGCTAATTTATAAAATGTAAATAGAAAATATCTACACTAGAAAAAAATCCATGTGCTTTTACATGGAAATTACTTGTTCGAAACTGGAAAAATTAATTATCACTGTAATTTTTTCCATATTTTTTAAAGTAAAAATACATATTAACGTAGAAACATATGTAAAATGTAGGTAAATTATTATTTTTATGCAAAAATCATTCGTAAATTTGAATGTATTTTTACTTTATTAAAAGTTTATTTTATAAGCATTTATCCATTTTATTTATAACATTATTCTATAGCATTTCCTATTCGTGTAATTTTATACAAATACTTTTTCCAATGTTTTTCTTTTGTGACACATACGCATAAATACGAGGATACTTTTATTCAGAAATTTCGGAATTGTCATATATTTAAAAGGGAGCAATTAATTTCAGCTTGAAATTCTTTTCTAAATCTCACCTGTAAATCGGTTCATTCCCGCCTCCTTTGTACCAAAGCACCATGTTGACTTCGTCGTTATCGGAACGAATGTCGCAAGGAAGCTGCACCTTCTTTCCGACTACACCATCAATGGCAACAATCGGTACTGCAACAAAGAAAAAAGTAGATATAAAGTAAAAGCAATTTTCTTTTTTCTCAAATATATTTCAGAGGCGCACAATATTCTAAATCGATCGAGCCAAATTTTCTGAATCATCATAAAATATATCCTATAATTAATCCATGAGCAATTCAACAAAAAAGTCAAGATATCGATAGAAATATCATAAATCTCAAGACTCATTTTCGAGAAAAACAGCTTAATGCCCAAGAACGATCATGGCTATAATCAATCACTTTAATAAGGTTGACACGATATATCACTACGGCAGGTAAAACGCTATATAATATAATACAGCTTTCACCGACGAGAAAACACATTAGGATTAAGTCTTATTAGACGAGAATTTAGCAGTGATGTACACATCGACGATTAAAGGCGAGCTTCTACCCGAGTTTAAGATCCTTCCCGTGATGAAGTAGACGATAGCGGTTTGATGTCGCTGCGGTTTTATCCGCCCGATTAGATTCACATGTAGATGGAGTTATCGTTTTAATGAGCTGTCTCCTCTTCCTCCCTCTCTCTCTCTCTCTCTCTGACATACTATCTTTCCACAACGACGCGTTTCCCGACGTCTCATCTGACATGTCTCGATCGCTTCGAACGGGAGCGTCGTACCTGAAGAGCGATCGCTCCCAGGGATCCCATCGATCACCAACGCTAGAGTTTCGTCGCTCGACGTCCGATCGCAACAGGACCGGCCAATCTCGAAAGTCCACGGACTTTCGTGATCGCGTTATAAAGCGTCGATATCTTCCACGAAGAAAGCAAGAGAAAATGGGGCGAAAATAGCGGAGAAAAACAGATCGCGTTCGCCGGTGACGTGTTCAAAGGCGTGCGCAGTCAGTGTCTCCGCGTCCTGATCCACCAAGATATTGCAAGAACGTGCCAAGTGTTTGCTGAAGGGTCCTGAGAGCGGTCTCGCGGAGCTCTCGACGCTCTGAATTTGAAATTAGAATACCAACCGGGACCTTCGATAGGACGATAGGACGCTCGATATGAGAAACGCGATAAAGAAACGTATGCTTCTGCCTTGCACTTTCGTTATACTGACACTATCAAACTATTACAGTAGAGTTTCAAGCCTATCATCACAATTTTTTACCAAATCAATATTTTTCTCATTTTTCCCAGAATATTTTCACCACTATTTATATTACAATCTAATATATATATATATGTATATCATCAGAAATTTTTATTAAATCAATATTTTTTTTATTTCGCCCGAAATATTTTCACCACTGTTTATATTACAATCTATATATATGATATACTTAGTTAAACTATCAGAATTTGTCTATCTCGATTAATGCCTTTAAGATAGCCAAGTTTAACAGTGTGACAGTTGTAAATCATACGCGATTTTGCGTTTTATCCGATTCAAATGCCGATCAAGATTGTTATGGGACACGATCCTATTACTAAACGGGCACATTCTTCCCGATCTCATCTAATCCCGGGAGAGAAGTTTCGAAGCGGTTCAGAAGGAAACTCGAGGAAGCTCTCCGCACAAACTCGCGAAACGTTTCGCGAGCGTGACAAGCGCCGCGCGCAAAACAATTTCATTTATCACAAGAAAAATAGCAGTTTAACTCTGCGAGTGGGCGTATCATACATTTCCCGCGAGTTTGGGAGGATGGAAGAGAGACACCGTGGAAAATGGAAGATATCCCGAGGTCGGATCGTTTCTTCTTTGTCGTCATAGTCAACGACGGCGAGCACGAACACGAGTGTATTAGCGTGGATGATATCCTCGATGCTCTAAGCCGTCACACAACCCTAGTTCTACAGTTTATTGCACGCTTCTTTCTCTCTTTGCTAGCACTTAGAGAAAATACAGTCTCGATATTGTCAGCGTGTCAGGACACTTCTCGCACACGAAAAAATGACACATTTCCGAATAACTCGCGCGTATGTATGTACGTGCCATTGACACGAAAAATTTGCATCACCGGGAGGGAAATTATATTGACGACTAATTGATAGACCGAGCGGAAGCTGTCCCCAGAAGCGTGAATAATTGTAGCGCTGCCGCGTTAAAGTTCACAGTACCTCGTAACTCGCTGGAAAACACACGATTGCCTCGCAAAGATAATTTGGAATATTTTTATTCTCGGTATCGTGATCGATAAAAACCAGGCGCTTGTTAAACGAACCACGAGATGGTCCTTTTTCCCCGGAATCGTCTATATGGATCAATCAATATATACTGAGATCTACCGCTTATTATTACGTCTTTCCTTCGACATCATTATAACAACCCGTCATCGTGTAAAGCCGCTGGCGTTTCTCACTTTGTTGCTTAGCGAACACAGATACTCGAATCATCTCGCGTATCTGTGCTCGTGATGAATTCCAAACGCCCACGTCGTTCCTGGTACAGATCGTTGTTGGGAAAATCTCGTAGGGTTTCATAAATAACCTTCCTACGTAGAAAACGAATTCATCAGCGGTCCCACTCTCTCTCTCTCTCTTTTTAACTTTGACGATTGGAGGCAACATCAAACGAGTATACACAGCGCAGGCATCTTGGGCTTCTTTATCGCGCGAGAAACCATAAATAAGTAATCTTTTCCGGTTTTCACGAATGCGCGGGAGGGTCCTGAATCTTGAAGATGATTGCTTCGGCTGAACGCGCGCCGCGTTTATTTTCCTTTTTATTGGTAACGTAAATATAACGGATTTTATTTTTTTCCTCTGTTCTTTTTCTCTCTCTCTTTTCTTCATCCGCTCTCGCCATCGAGAAATGAAATACAGCGTTATTTCAACAGCAAAGCGTACGCAGCTATTTTTTCTCAACTGATAGCCGCCAATATGTTACCGAACGATGAGAGATTCAGAAAAGCTATATATTCGTGCACCATGTGCGAAAAATAAAAATAAGTAAAAAGAATTGCGCAATCGGTATAATGTACAATGACGTGGTAAATAAATCCTGCAATAAGATCGCTATTTAATGCATATTTTAATAACATTTGACGGTAATAGAAAGGCTCAAAGAAAGATATATTAATTGATTGCAACAATAAAATTATTTCATACTAAAAAGTTAAATTATTAGATTTCTCTCAATATATTAAGAAATAAAAATTTGTAAAGAAGTCTGTTTAGAAATACCTTTTAGGTTAAAGCGAATAAACTTACAACAACCATTCGAAAATTAAAATTAAATTGTAAGTTAAAACGTAATCGATTAAATCGGTTAGCTATTCAAATGCGAGTTGTATGCGTGTCTTTCTTTTTCTACTATTATAGTCGGACGATAAAACGAATATTAGTGTAACCGTACATTTTTTTCGTTAAGCTTATAGCTACAAAAAAATATTGCAGAAATAAAGCGGTCGGCTCGAGGCAATTTTTTCGAACAAGGCAAGGTAATCTTTCAAATAAATAACGTTAGTCTTTCGTATTATTGTGGATGTTGCTCATTGGAATAATGGATGACCGGTCGCTGTCTAATACAGTAACTTTATACGAACAGTCCGACCAAAGTAATGCGTGCGTACGAGACGTCAAAACGAAAAGATTAATTAAATGATGGTATAGTTTTTTCGTCTCTATCTTCGAGGCGTGCGTAGGGTCCATAATTTACATAAGTATGGGCGATCGATTTAATGGAAGTGTATGCGAGTTTGATTGTACGTTAAACATGTCCGTGTTATTAACAATAATAGGTCTTCAACGCAGAGAGATATTCTCGGAGTTAAATAGACGGTGTCGAAAGAGATTTTCGGTCGACATACCGTGTGACACGCGTAAAAAATACATTTCGAACATTCGACGATGTCGGAGTCATTTGTCATATTCTTAACTAGCATGTAGATGTTTTCAATTTACGTCAAGACGCGATCAATCACGTATCACAATGACAGCGAATGCTTCGATAGTCTCTAATTATGTCTTTGATAGAATCACGGATGACACATAGAAAATATGAACGTTTCAACGGGTTTATTCTTAATTAATTTTTCACCGGCGATTTTTCATCGAGAAAATATACGAAACTAGTTGTTACAATAATAAGGAATTCCCTATTCAACACAGTTTGCGCGCGAAATTTCGAAATAAGAGCAATCGTTATTGTAATTCCGGTTGGACGACAAAGTACTTCGACGAGGGAGAATAATTCATAATTTTATATAGCCTCGTGCACTGCAGATAGATTATATACGCGAAGCTTCGATTTTTAAAGTAGACCGTCTACTCCGTTTGAAGTACGTGCAGCGGTTACCGTTACGGATGGAAAACGTTATTCAAGTCGGCAGCGCGATGAAGTAAGAATCGATAGAGTCAGTCGCTTGCCTAATAGACTTGACGATAAATCATCATGTCCCCGAAACACAATCAAAAACTATTTCATCAGGAAAATAAACAAGTTGACGTAGCAAGATAATTTTATTTATTAATTGCGTGTTTAATCTCCATTAATTACTAGTGTTATTAAATCGCGAATTTTATTAATTTTAACATTTTCCATCTGATCTTGCCTTCGTTATTTCTGAAATCTTATTTTACATCAATTTACTTCAATCGCTTCATTCTAGCAGCTTATTTAAACTTATCGGAACTATTATCTTCTTGATTAATAATTGGTGCTTGTAACGCGTTTAATTTTAGCGTAAGACAAGAGAGAATTTTGTTGCAAATCAAATTATCAAAATCTGTTATTATTCTAAAATAAAAATAAATAAATTTATCGAAAATTAAATAATCGAAATCCGTTATTATTCTTAATAACAATTTTGCAATTTTAAATCTTAATTCAATATAGTTTTAGGCGATTATTTCATTTAATATACAACATTATTTTGGATTAAAATCTACTTTCATTATAAAAATTATCGCGATGTAGTCGATTGTTATAGATTGGCGATTTTTGTCTCACAGAATTTAAGATTATGTATATTACGAATTTATCTCGACTATACAATAAGTAAAGCCGATTTACAAGAAACTGTGATAACAAATTATTTATTAGCCGA